TCTCTCTCTCTTTCTCTCCCTCTCTCTTGCTCTCCCTCTCTCTCTCTCTTCCTCTTCCTCTCTCTTGCTCTCTCTCTACCTCTTTCTCGTTCTCTTACTCTCTCTCTCTCTCACACACACACACACACACACACACAATCTCTCTTAAAGTTCAGCTCTCACGATCTCTCTCTCTTGCTCTCTCTCTCTCTTTCTTACTTTCTCTTTCTCTCTCTATCACCCTCTCTTGCTCTCTCTCCCTCTCTCTATCTCCCTCTCTCGCTCGCTCTCATCTTGCTCTTCTCTCTATTTCTCTCCCTCCATCTCTCTCTATTGCTCTCCTTCCATCTCTCTCTCCCTCTCTTTATCTCTCCTCTCTCTTTCTCTCTCTTACTGTCTCTCTGCTATCCCTCTCTCTCTCTATCTCTATCTCTTTCTCTCTTTCTCTCTCACTCTTTCTTTCTCTCTCTCTCTCTCTCACTCACTCACTCGCTCACTCTTGCTTTCCCTCTCTCTCCCTCTCCCTCTCTCTCGCTTCCTCTTCCCCATTTCTCTCTCTATCTCTCTCACTCCTCTCTCTCTCTTGTTATCACTCTCTTGCTCTCGCTCTCTTTCTAGCTTTCTCTCTCGCGCTCTCTTTCTAGCTTTCTCTCTCTACCTTTCTCTTTCTTGCTCTTGCTCTCTCTCTACATCTTTCTCTTACTCTTTCTCTCCCTCACACTATCACTTTTAAAGTTCAGCTCTCACTATCTCTCTCTTGCTCTCTTTCTTTTTCTCTCCCTCATGCTCTCTCTCTCTCTCTCTCTCTCGATCTCTCTCTATCTTGCTTTCTCTTGCTCTCTCTCTCTCTCTCTTACTCTCTTTCCATCTCTCTCTCTGTCTCTCTCTCTAGCTCTCATCTTGGTCTTCCTCTCTATTGCTCTCCCTCCATCTATCTCTCTCTATCTCTCTCTCTCTATTGCTATCCCTCCATCTCTCTCTCCCTCTCTTTATCTCTCCCCTCTTTCTCTCCCTTGCTATCTCTCTCTTAGTCTCCCCCTCTCTCTCTATCTCCATCTCTTTCTCTCCCTCTCTCACTCTCTCTCTCTCACTCACTCTCTCTCTCACTCACTCTCTCTCTCTCTCAATCACTCACTCACTCTCTCTAGCTCTCTCTCTCTCTCTCACTCTCTCTCTCTGTCTCTCTCTGTCTCTCCCTGTCTCTTGCTCTCCTCTCTCTCTCTTGCTTTCCCTCTCTCTTTGTCTATCTCTCTCTCTCTTGTTATCTCTATCTCTCTGTCTTTATCTCTCAATCTTTCTCCATATATATATATATATCTTGCTTTCTCTCTCTCTCTCTCTCACTCACTCACTCTCTTGCTATCCCTCTCTCTTGCTCTCTCTCTCCCTCTCTCTCTCTCTTGCTTGGTCACTCTCTCTCTCTCTCTCTTGCTAGCTCTCTCCCACTCTCTCTCTCTCGACCTGACTCTCTTGCTCTTGCACTCTCTCTCTCTCCCTCCATCTCTCTCTATATTCAGCTGTCTCTCTCTCTTGCTATCTCTCTCTCTCTCTCCATCCGTCTCTCTCTATCTATCTATCTTAATCTCCATATATATATGTCTCTCACTCTCTTTCTCTTTCTCTCTCTTGCTAGCTCTCTCTCTCTCTTGCTAGCTCTCTGTCTCTCTCTCTCTCTCTTACTAGCTCTCTCTCTCCATCTCTCTCTCTCTCTCTCTCTTCCTCCTCTCTCTCTCTCTTCCAATCTCTCTCTTTCTATCTCTCTCTCTGTTTATCTCTCTCTCTCTCTTGCTCTCTCTCTGGATCTTGCCCTCCATCTCTCTCTATCTCTCTCTCTTTCTCTCTGTGTCACTCAATATCTCTCACTCTTTCTTTCTCTCTCTCTATCTCCCTCTCTCTCACTCGCTCTCTTACTCTACCTCAATCTCTCTCTCTCTCTCTCTCTTTCTCTCTCTCACTTTTGCTCTTCCTCTCTCTCTCTCTCTTTCTCTCTCTCTATTGCTGTCCCTCCATCTCTCTCTCTATTTTCTCTCTCTCTTCCTCTTCCTTCCCTCTCTAGCTCTTGCTCTTCCTCTCTCTCTTACTCACTTTATCTCTCTCTCTCTCTCTCTCTCTCCCTCCCTTTATAGTTCTCTCTCCTCTCTCTCTCTCTCTCTCTCTCTCTCTCTCTCTCTCTCTCTCTCTCTCTCTCTCTCTCTCTCTCAATTTTTATATCTCTAGCTCTTGCTCTTCCTCTCTCTCTCTCTCGCTCTTGCTCTTCCTCTCTCCCTCTCTCTCTCTCTCTCTCTCTCTCTCTCTCTCTCTCTCTCTCTCTCTCTCTCTCTCTCTCGATCTTGCTCTTCCTCTCTAACTCTCTCTTGCAATCCCTCCATCTCTCTCTTTCTCTCTTTCTCTCTCTATCCTCTCTCTATCTCTCTTGCTATCTCTCTCTTACTCTCTCTCTCTATCTCCCTCACTCCCTTTCTAGCTCTATCTCTCTTGCTCTCTCGCTCTCCTGCTCTCTCTCTCTTGCTTTCTATTGCTCTTTCTCTCCTTTTCTCTCTCTCTCTTCACTCTCTCTCTCTCGCTCTCTCTCTGTGTCTCTCTGTCTTTCTCTCTCTCTCTTACTAGCACTCTCTCTTGCTTGCTTTCTCTCTCTCTCTCTTGCTAGCTCTCTTTCACTCTCTCTCTACCTGACTCTCTTGCTCTTGCTCTCTCTCTCTCCCTCCACATCTCTCTCTATATATATTCAGCTCTCTCTCTCTCTCTCCATCCCTCTTTCTCTCCATCTCTCTCTCTATCTATCTATCTTAATCTCCATATATATATATATATATATATCACTCTCTCGCACTCTCTCTCTCTCTTTCTCTCTCTTGCTTGCTCTCTCTCTCTCTCTCTTGCTATCTCTCTCTTTCTATCACTCCCTCTGTCTGTCTCTCTCTCTTGCCCACTCACTATCTCTCTCACTTGCTCTCTCTTGCTCTCTCTCCCTTGCTCTCTCTCTCTCTCTAAATCTTTCTCTCCATCTCTCTCTATCTCTCTCTCTCTTTCTCTCTCTCTCTTCCTCTCTTGCTCTACCTCCATCTCTCTCTCTCCCACTCTCTCTCTCTCTCGCAATTGATCTTCCTCTCTCTCTCTCTCTCTCTCTCTTGCTGTCCCTCCATCTCTCTCTCTCACACTCACTAGTTTTTAGCTCTCTCTCTCTCTCTCTCTTTTCTTTCTCTCTCTTGCTCTTCCTTTCCCTCTCTCTCGAGCTCTTGTTCTTTATCTCTCTCTCTCTCACACTCTTACTCTTCCTCTCTCTCTCTCTCTCTCCCTCCCTTTCTAGTTCTCTCTCTTTTGCTAGATCTCTCTCTCTCTATTGCTCTCTCACTCTCTTGCTCTCTCTCATGCTTTATTTCTCTCTCTCTCTCTCCCTTTCTAGCTCTCTCTCTTTCTCTCTCTCTCGCTCTCTCTCCCTCTTGGTTTCCCTTGCTCTCTCTCTCTCTTTCTTGCTCGCTTTCCCTCTCCCTCTCTTTCTCTCTTGCTTTCCCTTCCTCTCTCTCTCTCTCTCTCTTTGTCTCTCGCTCTCTCCCTCTCTCTCTATCTCTCTCTTGCTCCTTCTCTCCTTCTTTTCTCTCTCTCTCTCCCTCCTCTCACTCTCTCTTGCTATCTCTCTCTCTGTCACTCTCTATCTCTCTCTTGCTCTCTCTCTATCTCTCCCTCTTGCTTTCTCTTGCTCTCTCTATCTCTCTCTCTCTCTCTCGCTCTTCCTTTCTCTCTCTCTCTCTCTCTTGATTTTTCTATCTCTCACTCTAGCTCTTGCTCTTCCTCTCTCTCCCTCTCACTCTTGCTTTTCCTCTCTCTCTCTCTCTTGATCTTGCTCTTCCTCTCTCACTCTCTCTTTCTCTCCCTCCATCTCTCTCTTTCTCTCTTTCTCTATCTCTCTATCCTCTCTCTGTCTCTCTTGCTATCTCTATCTTACTCTCTCTCTCTATCTCCCTCTATCTCTCTCTCTCCCTCCCTTTCAAGCTCTCTCTCTCTCTCTCTCTTACTCTCTCTCTCTTGCTCTCTCGCTCTCCTGCGCTGTCTCTCTCTCTCTTACTTTCTATTGCTCTCCTCTCTCTCTCTCCCTTTCTCTCGCTCTCCTTACTCTCTATCTCTTACTCTCTCTCTTTGTCTCTCTGTCTCTCGCTCTCTCTCTCTCTCCTACTAGCACTCTCTCTTGCTTGCTTTCTCTCTCTCTCTCTTGCTAGCTCTCTCTCACTCTCTCTCTCTACCTGACTCTCTTGCTCTCTCTCTCTCTCTCTCCATCTCTCTCTCTATATTCAACTCTCTCTCTCTCCATCCCTCTCTCTCTCCATCTCTCTCTCTATCTATCTATCTTAATCTCCATACATATATGTCTCTCTCTCTCACACACACTCTCTCTCTTTCTCTCTCTTGTTATCTCTCTCTCTCTCTCTCTTACTAGCTCTCTGTCACTCCATCACTCTCTCTCTCCTCCTCATCCTCCTCTCTCTCTCTCTTATTATCTCTCTCTTTTTATCTCTCTCTCTGTCTGTCTCTCTCTCTCTTGCTCTCTCACTATCTCTCTCACTATCTCTCTCTCTTGCTCTATCTATCTCTCTCTCTAGATCTTGCTCTCCATCTCTCTCTCTCTCTTGCTCTACCTCCATCCCTCTCTCTCTCTCTCTCGCTCTTGCTCTTCCTCTCTCTCTCATTCTCTCTCTCTCATTCTCTCTCTCTCTTGGTTTCCCTCCATCTCTCTCTCTCACTCACTTATTTTTTGCTCTCTCTCTCTCTCTCTCTTTTCTCTCTCTCTCTTGCTCTTCCT